TATACATGGCTATCATATCTCCTCTCAGCCTTCTCTTCTTCAGGCTACACATGCCCAGCTCCTTAAGCCGCTCCTCATAGGGCTTGTTCTCCAGACCCTTGATCATTTGAGTCGCCCTCCTCTGGACACTTTCCAGCTTAGAGCATGACTTCCCTAGATCTAGACACTATGCTCTTCTTGATGCAGGCCAAAATCCCATTGGCTTTTTTTTTGCCCCCACATCACATTGTTGGCTCATGTCTAGTTTGGCATTTTTTTTGGAAGAGAAAGCTCAAGACCTTGTAAAATGGCAGTGCTCCCGATTCCATAACATTGAGTCAGGGCAACTAAAACAGTGTCAAACTATTAATTCTACAGTGTAGATCAGGCATGGGCAAACTTTGGCCTGCCAGGTGTTTTGGACTTCAACTCCCACAATTCCTAGCAGCCTATGGCAGCCCTATGAGGAGCGGCTTAAGGAGCAGGCTATGGCTGCTAGGAATTGTGGGAGTTGAAGTCCAAAACACCTGGCAGGCCAAAGTTTGCCCATGCCTGGTGTAGCTGCACCCACAATGTGTCTTAAGTATTCTCTTACTGGGTGGGTTGATTTTTGAATATTTCCCCTAGTAGTGGCAGTGGGTTTTTCACTGCCTTTTGAACATTGCAATTTCCAATATCAGATCAATGTCTGTTTATCTTCTAGTGCGGATACAGAGAGACGTTATGGACGGAAAAGGAAATATATTACAGCAGAAGGGGGAAAAAAGTGAGTGAACTTCCTGTTTGATCCAGTAATTATGTTGTGTGTTGTCGAAGGCTTTCATGGCCGGAATCACTGTGTAGCTGTGTTTTGGGCGCTATGGCCATGTTCCAGAAGCATTTTCTCCTGATGTTTCGCCCACATCTGTGGCAGGCATCCTCAGAGGTGAGCTATATTGGAAACTAGACATATCTGTTGAAGGTCCAGGGTGGGAGAAAGAACTCTTGTCTGTTGGAGGCAAGTAAGAATGTTGCAATTAATCACCTTGATTAGCATTGCAAGGCCTTGCAGCTTCAAGGCCTGGCTGATTCCTGCCTGGGGGAATCATTTGTTGGGAGGTGTTAGCTGCCCTGATTATTTCTTGTCTGGAATTCCCGTTTTCAGAGTGTTGTTCTTTATTTACTGTCCTGATTTTACTGTTAATAGAGGTTTTTTTAGATTTCTTTCTCCCACTCTGGACTTTCAACAGATATGTAAATCTCCCTTGTCTAATTTCCAATATGCCTCCAAACCTCCAAGGATGCCTGCCATAGATGTATCATTGATTTAGGATTGTTTGCTCACTCCATCTCTCACCGAAAATTCTATCCCAGTATTTTACCTTGTTCATGCCCAGCATTATTTTTTAATTTTTAATTATCACATTTGGCCCAGCCATAGGTTTTACTGTTTAATGTTTATTTTTTGTTTATGAGATTTATTTTGATTGTTTTGTATTGATGTTTTGTTATTGCTTTTATTATTGTTGTTCTATGGGCTCGGCCTCATGTAAGCCGCACCGAGTCCCTTGGGGAATGGTAGCGGGGTATAAATAAAGTATTATTATTATTATTATTATTATTATTATTATTATTATTATTATTATTATTATTATAGATACGGGCGAAACATCTGAAGAGAATGCTTCTGGAACATGGCCAGAAAGCTCGGAAAACTCACAGCAACCCAATTACATTGTGTATTTTGGGATGTGCTTTTATATGTGTGTGTTATTCTGAAACTTTTTATCAAGGTTTGATGGACTCAAAGGCATTAGGTGCTGGCCTTCGGTTAGTCTGTAACAGAAAACCTGAGAAGTTGTTGCTCTTGTTATGGTTTCCTGGAAATGCTTGCTGGAATTTATTGCTATAATGTTGCTATAATGTTGACATTTGACACACACACCCCCCTCTCTCACTTAGAGAAAGTGGGTAATGGTGGTTCTGTATGCCAAGTTTGGTCTTTATTGGTCAATGGATGATGGTGGCATTGTTTTCAGGAAGTGAGTGAAGTTACTGCAGGTACCATTATCCATGGTCCACCCATCTATATAAATCAAAATGTAATATTCGTTTGTGGGATTAACATAACTCAGAATCCACTGAACGAATTGTCACGAAATTTTGACACACTACTACACCTAACAGTCCAACGAGTGTTCATCACCCCTAAAAATACAAAGAACCCTCAGCAGAACGGACTTAAAAAACCCAGAAATACACTATATATATATATATATACACACACACACACACACACACACTCATATACACATACACATGCACACATACATACACATATGTATATATATATACACAAGCACACACAAATATATACACACATACATCTACATACACACACATATATATACATATACACATGCACACACAAATATACACATGCACACAACATACACATATATAAACACAAATATGCATAAAGACAAGCACACACATATACACAATATACATATGCACTTATAAACACACATATATATACACACATATATACACATCTACACACACATATATATACACCCACACATACCCCCCACACACATATCTATCTATATCTATACCTATATCTATATACACACAAACACACATATATACACAGATACACAAATATATACACACATATATACAGACTGGCCACAGCGTGTGGCAGGGGACGACTAGTGTGTGTGTGTGTGTGTGTGTGTGTGTGTATATGTGTTGTGTGTGTGTATATATATATATATAAGGTAAAGGTTGTCCCCTGACATTAAGTCCAGTCATGTCTGACTCTGGGGTGTGGTGCTCATCTCCATTTCTAAGCCGAAGAGCCAGCGTTGTCCATAGACACCTCCAAGGTCATGTGGCCAGCATGACCGCATGGAGCACCGTTACCTTCCTGCCGGAGCGGTACCTATTGATCTACTCACATTTGCATGTTTCCGAACTGCTAGGTTGGCAGAAGCTAGGGCTGACAGCGGAAGCTCACGCCGCTCCCTGGAATCGAACCTGCGACCTTTTGGTCAACAAGCTCAGGAGCTCAGTGCTTTAACCCACTGCGCCACCGGGGGGCCCACGTGTGTGTATATGTGTGTGTGTGTATATATATGTGTGTGTGTGTGCGCGCGCGCGCTTTGTAGCAGGCAGTGCTGAGGCCTCCTTGTGAGGTGTCATGCAGTTTGTTTTGTTTTAAATGAACATTTACCATTTATATTGAAAGAGATGCTAGCAAAGGACAGTTGCCCTGACAACCATGTCAATAGTGCAGTCTATCTGTTCTAGGTTATAGTCTCAAATTACATATTGCCTGGCATCCTGTTCTGACGTACACATGCGTAAGCTGCCCTGTGGAAGCAGCTGGACATCTCTGTCCAATGTGGTGCATCTGTACTCACTTTGTTTTCTGAAAACTTATGCCTGATTGCTCAGTGGGTTTCATGGGAACTATATTCCAGCACCTCAGAAGGCCACCAAATTGGGGAAGGCTGCTCACACACTAATTGATGGAGGAAGACAGCTTTGTGATGGAATCCACTTAACTAAGGAAGTGGTGCTGTAGAACTGTCATGGAACGTATGTGAATCATCAGCTGGGACAATGGAAGAAAGGACTGCTAAAAGGCAGGAGCTATAAGTTTCTGCAACATCAGAATCTCTGCCTCTGTCACAAATGGCATCTCAGAGCCAATAACCCCAAACTCTTCTCATGGCTCTGACTGTAACCCCAGCTAATGTTCCTCTGCAAAATTTGCCGGAATCCAAAATTTGCCAAATGAAGCAGGAGCTGCAGAGAGTATTTTATATTGCAACACATCCTGTACATATATTTTCAGTAACAAACCCCATAGCGTTCACCAGGGCTGTTTAATCATTGGCAGAGAACCCAAGAGCACTGCAAGAGAGGTTTTTGGTTGTCTTAGGGCCCTTCCAGACAGGCCCTAAATGCCAGGATATGATCCCAGATTTTCTGTTTATCCCAGACTATGTGCCAGTACGGACTCATATAATCCAGTTTAAAGCAGAAAACCTGGGATCAGATCCTGGGATATAGGGCCTGTCTGGAAGGGCCCTTCATCACCACAAAACCCTCAGTTGGTATTTTGTTTGCATTCACTATTCAACCATTGACTGCGCCAAGCTTTCAAAGAGAGAGAGAGATTGACAAGCTGGAATGTGTCCAAAGGAGGGCGACTAAAATGATGAAGGGTCTGGAGAACAAGCCCTATGGGGAGCGGCTTAAGGAGCTGGGCATGTTTAGCCTGAAGAAGAGAAGGCTGAGAGGAGATATGATGAGGGCCATGGATAAATATGTGAGAGGAAGCCACAGGGAGGAGGAGGGAGCAAGCTTTGTTTACTGCTTCCATCGAGATTAGAACAAGGAACAATGGCTTCAAACTACAAGAGAGGAGATTCCATCTAAACATGAGGAAGAACTTCCCGACTGTGAGAGCCGTTCAGCAGTGGAACTCTCTGCCCCGGAGTGTGGTGGAGGCTCCTTCTTTGGAAGCTTTTAAACAGAGGCTGGATGGCCATCTGTCAGGGGTGATTTGAATGCAATATTCCTGCTTCTTGGCAGAATGGGGTTGGACTGGATGGCCCAGGAGGTCTCTTCCAACTCTTTGATTTTATGATTCTATGACTGACCAGCCCGTTAGTCAAGTTGGTGCTGTGGGTAACACGAGAGACTTATTCACACATCTCACAAGAAACCCAGGTTTGCTGCAGCAGATATGCAGTTAGCAGGAGTCAATAGGCAATCTGAGTCTGATTAAACTGATACCATTCTTTTCAAGAAACTTTATGACATTTGTAGGGGACAGGTTTTTTTCCCCAAAAAAACATTATTTTAGATGCACATCTAAACTACACCAAGAAAATATAGTGTGGGAAAGATGGGTATGAGCAAACCCAATTGTAAATTCTGTTAAAAGTGCAGCCACAAAATTGCATGGGTTTAAAAACACTAAAACATGTATTCCAGAATGAAATAATTCTTTCAAAACGACCCTGTTTTCTTCCCTTCCCTTTTGTCTTTATTTGCACTGAACCTTTGTTACAAAACTACACCTGGAAATAACTTGCGTGTACTCTTTAAAAAATAATAATTTTAAAACTGTGGATTTTATCTTCATGAAATGGAAGGAATTTTAAAATAATAGCGTCGTGTGAAAAAAGTAGGGGGAAAAGAATGAATAAATATATTTGCAACAGGTAAAGAAAAGCAGGGTTTGAGTTTCTGCTGAAGGGGAAGGGACTGAGATGAGGAGAAGGTGCTTGCAGTAAAAAGGTCTGGAGGCCAGGAGCGGAAGCAGGCACTGAAGGAGGGGGAGAAAGAGGAAACCAGAGGCCGAGGGCTCAAGGAAGTCCTGCGAAATGTGAGTGGAGCAACACAAACTGGACACCCAGGGAGGGAGGTGAAGCAGTCCTACTTGTACATCAGGTGAAAGAGATGCCATGGTTAGCCAGGTCCACTTCAAGTGTGGTTGCTTCACAGTTCCAACGTATATCCGCCCCAAAATTGAGATTTCTCCCATCTGAAGCTGCCAGAAAACATGATCATTTCACATGTACGTAACGTGGGTGGGTCGAACTGCAGTATGGTTGGTGAGCTTTTAAAACATAGACATGCTTTCCAGCATCACCCTCCTCGAGAGAGCTAGAAACATTCTTTTGTGAAATCAGATTCTCAGTGTCCATTCAAAGTCTTCACAGTCTCAGCTGATCACGGTGCGCATTGAAACGGCACCAGCTCTGAAGGGATGGCAACTTGCACAGTCTTATTGGTACATATTTGGAAAATTATGGCTGGTGCACCGCCTTTCCATTTACATCAGGACGTTGTCCCCTCAACATGCACACATTCCCAGCTGTCTTTTTAAAGGACTGTCCACCATGTTGGGCAGAATTAGAGGTGCGGGACCTTGAGGGGACAAAGCAGGGAGTAAGGGAGACAGGAAACCAGTGGCCCCCATTTCCTGATGCCACAGAGTGCTACGAGACGGAGTCCCCACCCAAGGAAGGCAGGAGTCGCGGGGTGGGGGGCTCTGCGCTATGAGTCCTGAGGTGGTCCTTGAGGGACTCTTTATATCGGAAACTGCGCCCGCACTCCGCGCACTGGTAGGGCCGCTCGCCCGTGTGGATCCTCTGGTGCTTGAGCAGGTTCTGCTTGCGGATGAAGCGCTTGCCACAGACTGGGCACTGGAAGGGCCGCTCCCCAGTATGCAGCCGCTGGTGGTTCTGGAGGTGCTCCTTGCGGCTGTAGCACTTGCCACACTCCTCGCACTTGTAGGGCCGCTCACCCCGGTGAGTCATCTGGTGTCGCACCAGCCCCGAGTGGCAGTTGAAGCTCTTCTGGCACTCTGTGCACTCATACGGGCGCTCCTGGCCGTGGTGGCTGCGCTGGTGGACCTTGAGGCTCTTCTTCACCCCAAACATCTTGCCGCACTCGTTGCAGCCATGGGGTCTATCGGCAGGCCCTTGCGGAGCAAAGATGCTCTGCAGCTCACTGTCTAACTCAAGGGACTTGCCCGGTCTGTTCCTAGCCGGGCTCAGGGGCTGCGTGACCGGGCCACACTGACCAGCGTAGGCTTCCATGTTGCCTCCGGCTCCAGCTGCCGGAGGGGCTTCCCCCTGGAACACTGGCTCCCTGGGCCTCGCTGGCTCTTCTGGGCACCGGCGTTGCTCCTCGGCTTTGACTGGCATCCCATCACCAGCTGAAAAGACAGGCATATCTCAATTAAACAACCCTCTGGAAAAGAAGCTCTGCTTCACAAACTGTTGTTATGCCCACACCCACCCCTCTCCTTGTCTTCTGTATAGTTGGGGCTTTTAAAAAAACCATTGGTATTGAATGGGGCCTGGAGAAACACTGGTTTTTGGTGTCGGGAAGGAATTGGATTATTCTCTAGCCCAGTGGTTCTCAACCTTCCTAATGCCGCGACCCCTTTAGTACAGTTCCTCAGATTGTGGTGACCCCCAACCATAACATTATTTTCGTTGCTACTTCATAACTGTAATTTTGCTACTGTTATGAATCGTCATGAAAATATCTGATATGCAGGATGGATTTTCATTCACTGGACCAAATTGGCACAAATTCCTGATACACCCAAATTTGAATACTGGTGGGGTTGGGGGGATTGATTTTGTCATTTGGGAGTTGTAGTTGCTGGGCTTTATAGTTCCCCTACAATCAAAGAGTATTCTGAAGTTCACCAACAATGGAATTGAACCACACTTGGCACACAGAACTCCCATAAGCAAGAGGAAATACTGGGAGGGTCTAGTGAACATTGACCTTGAATTTTTGGAGTTGTAGTTCACCTACATCCAGAGAACATTGTGGATTCAAACAATGATGGATCTGGACTAAACTTGGCACAAATACTCAATATTCACAAATGTGAACACTGGTGGAGTTTGGGGAAAATAGACCTCAGCATTTGGGAGTTATAGTTGCTTGGATGTATAGTTCACCCACAATGAAATAGCATTCTGAACCTCATCAACGATAGAATTGGAACAAACTTCCCACACAGAACACTATGTTTTCTGATGGTCTTAGGCGACTCCTCTGACACCCCCTCATGACCCCCACAGGGGTCCCGACCCCCAGGTTGAGAAACACTGTTCTAGCCCATCCTACTGTAGCTGTGTGCGCCTGGCTACAGCAGGCAAAGTAAACAACAGTCATCATCACAATCTGTTACTGCACATGTGAGAATCACAAAATGGGGGAAAGGACGAGTAGATAAGCCGATTTATCAGTGCCCTCGGCTTTTCTTTAAAAAGAGCACTGATTTATACATCTGGGCACCAAAAAGGAAATCATTAGTAGAATCTGGTGAATGAAAAATATTAGTCCCAGGACGCATTAAGGAAGAAGCCTTCAAGTGATTCTATAAGTGCTCTTTAGAAAAATTAATGTTTTTGTTAACTCGTCAAATCTCATTTGGCATGTTTCATTCCACATGCACATATTGTTAGTTTTAGTAACCAAAATAGGCATAAGGCTGATTTATACCTACATATGAAAGTAACAGAATGCCATATTCATTAATTCATTAATTCCTTCCCTGTATTGTCGAAGGCTTTCATGGCCGGAATCACTGGGTTGTTGTAGGTTTTTTCGGGCTATATGGCCATGTTCTAGAGGCATTTTCTCCTGATGTTTCACCTGCATCTATGGCAAGCATCCTCAGAGGTGGTTTTACCCTCTGGATTTCTATTTTTCACCTGAAAGCCAAGTATTAAAAGAAGGCTTACCTTGTACCTGCTCTTCCTTTCTTTTCCTACTCTGACAATAAGAGATATTTATGCTTGTACGTTTGCAAGACAGATGTCCCACTTCCCTATTTTTTGGTCTTAACTGGCAATGGACAACATGTGGCCTTCAGACCTCTACACACATCCTTGTGCATACACACTTTTTTCCATCAAAAAATGAGAAATGCAACATTCAAAATACCTTACCAAACTGCACTACCTCTGAGGATGCTTGCCATAGATGCAGACAAAACGTCAGGAGAAAATGCCTCTAGAACATGGCCATATATCCCGAAAAAACCTACAACAACCCAATTCCTTCGCTGCCCTTCTCCTCTGAAACAATTTTCATATTAGAATTTCTTCCTCTCTGGAAGCACAGCCAGCTCAGAGGAGGAAAATGGACATTTCTCAGCCAAATATAGTAAGCTTTTGGGTCCCATGTTAAGCAAAAAGCATTGTAACAATTAAACAAATCAAATAAACAACAAATGCAACTCTGGAAATTGCCTTTCTCAGAACCTGTGACTGCACTGCTGAAACTGTATGGCAGAGGAAAGGGACTGAATGAAAAATGGTGGCCCAGCTGCCTACTGGTGAATACAAGGAAGGGAAGAACTAGACAAAACATGATAGGTTTCTATGAGGCTCCTGGAGGAATTCCAAAATGGAAGACATGGTTCCTCACCTGTGCCAGGGCCTGTGAGGATGTCCCTCTCCGCTGACTCCCAGTGCTCTCTGACGCAGGGCTCTTCCTCTTGCTTAATCCAAGACAAAAAGTCATGGGCAGACATAAGAACCTCGGCACCTATGGAAAGTCAACAACAAAAAGTTCAGACAAAGTTCGAAAGAGGTTCCCTGGATCAAAGTGCTGCAGCAGACCCCAGAATAGGCCTGAAGAATCCTAGAATCAAAGAGTTGGAAGAGACCTCATGGGCCATCCAGTCCAACCCCATTCTGCCAAGAAGCAGGAATATTTCATTCAAATCACCCCTGACAGATGGCCATCCAGCCTCTGTTTAAAAGCTTCCAAAGAAGGAGCCTCCACCACATTCCGGGGCAGAGAGTTCCACTGCTGAACGGCTCTCACAGTCAGGAAGTTCTCCCTCATGTTCAGATGGAATCTCCTTTCTTGTAGTTTGGAGCCATTGTTCCATTGCGTCCTAGTCTCCAAGGAAGCAGAAAACAAGCTTGCTCCCTCCTCCTCCCTGTGGCTTCCTGTCACATATTTATACATGGCTATCATATCTCCTCTCAGCCTTCTCCTCTTCAGGCTAAACATGCCCAGCTCCTTAAGCCTCTCCTCATAGGGCTTGTTCTCCAGACCCTTGATCATTTCAGTTGCTGTCCTCTGGACACATTCCAGTTTAGAGTCGATATCTCTCTTGAATTGTAGTGCCCAGAATTGGACACAACATTCCAGGAGTGGTATTGTCGCGGCAGATACTTTACCCAAGATCATTTTAGAGCACAATCAAGCAGGAAGGAGACGGAGACTGCAAATTTGATTCCAGGCATATTTACTATCATGATAGGACGCTCAGAACAATCTCTGAAGCGTACTAGAAGTCAGTCAGCTTACAATATTTATAGCAGAAATCCACTGGTCTTAGACATGCGTATAACTGTCTTGACATTTACACAGATATAAACATTAACAGAGGTATTTCGCATTACCTTTTCCCATACATCACAATGACGTATTATATTGACGTACTTATAATTGTTTCAAATCTTAATTATTCCCATATTCGTAATATATCTAAAGTTACCTGCTATTTACCTCACTGAACCACCAGATGCTGTTCTGACCTTTTCCAGTCTTAGATCCATTATCTACACAAGTGTCCTTGTCTGGCTGCCAAACACATTTTAATAAACATCTTACTTACTATTGTTTCCCAAATGTCATGTTCCCGTTAATATTTAACTTCCTTGATCTCTGAAGCCCTTACTTTCGTCTATGGAACATTTCGCTTCTCCCTGCCGCAAACACTCCTTCGCTAGTATTTCAAGGTAAGTTTTCCTATATTCATTTTTTAAATATATTTTTATAATTATTCTTTTCCGCTGACTGCTACATTCCCCCCTTTTTGCGAGCGGATGTTCCACAGTAGCCTCGCAAACTCCTAAAATTACATTCTCAACAAAAATACCATTTTACATAAACATTTATCACAGTTGAAGAATGTCCCATACACGTTGGCACCTTCACAGTGCTCCTCATTCTTCTGTCTGATGTATTTAACCCATGTTCAGATGTAGTCAAAACCAGAGCCGTAGTCCTCCTTCTGGATCTCATGTCACTGCTGGTTTGATGATACAAAGTCTCAAAGGAATCCTTTGGATCAAGAGTCACAGTCCCTTCGAGTGATGCTTTCCTTATTCTAGTATAATGTATCCAGTCTTTTATCTGCAAAGGGGCTATGACCAGCTCTTTTCCTCGTCCCTTTCGGGTCGCGGCCTTTGCTGTGGTATCAGCCTACCAGTTTCCATAGGTCACACATTCCTCGTCACATCGATGTACTCTGCAGTGCATTACTGCTACTGATGCAGGAACTCAAACAGCATCTAATAATTTCAAAATGGTCTCACTATGTTGTATTTTTCCCAACAGAATTTAGTAGTCCCTTGTCCTTATATAATGCTCCACATGCATATAAGGTAGTGAATGCATATCTAGAATCTGTATACATGTTGACTATTTTTTCTTCTAATAACTCCAGAGCTCTAATGAGTGCTATCAGTTCTGCCCTCTGAGCTGGAGCATTTAGAGGAAGTGGTTCTATTTCCCACACAGTAGTTATAGTTATTATTGTATATCCAGCATATCTTTTTCCTTTTTTCAACCAAACTGCTTCCATCTGTAAAAAGAGTGGCATCTACCTCAGGCCATGGTTAATCTTTTATATCAGATCTATTGGAATATATCTCATACATAATTTCTAAACAATCATGTTGAAGCATTTCCCTTTCAACAAGCAGAAGTGAACCAGACTTTAATATACTGCAAGTCTGTAACTTGATTTAAGAGTTTTCACATAATAAAATCTGATATTTTTTGCATATGGCTATTTATGAACCAATGATATTCTCTATAGTTCATGATAGCCATTACTGAATGAGGGTTTTAACTATCAATTCTTGTCCCAAAGTCAATTTATCAGCTTCCTGAGTCAGCCGGGCCGTAGCAGCTACAGCACATAGACAAGTTGGTCAACCTTTTGCTACAGGGTCAATTTGCTTAGACAAGTAAGCTACTGGTCTCGGCCATGTTCCTAATAGCTGGGTAAGCACCCCCACTGCTATTCCATCTCGTTCACCAACAAAAATGTAAATGGCATCTTCAATTCAAACAAGCCCAAAGCTGATGCTTGCATCAAAGCTTGCTTTTCAACTATGCAAATGTTTGGGCAAAATTTGGGGGTCCAATTAAATGGTTCCCTTTCACCCCCCTTTGTAACTTCATAAAGAGGTCTTATCATTATAGCTGCAAAACCCTTATTCCAACCAGTTTTGTTTTCCAACCTTTCAACTTAAGCTGAGTGTTTCCAAATCTGTCTTATATTCAAAGCCGAACCCATAGCAGGGAACAAGATGTCTCCCAACCTTTCTCCTTCACTTAAACAAGTTCGTTCTGGACCATATCCAACCTCTTCATCATAAACTCTTTCTAAACGCTGTTCTCTTTTCCAAATCATTTAGGATGGTTATTCTATATATTATCACATCTGCTAGCATTAGGATACCTATCGTGCATGTTCCAACCCAAAAAGGTGGCAAAATCTTTCCTGCCCACTGTCCGCAAATCCGATACAGCCCGGGGTGGGTAACCTTCCCTTTGTTACCAGAGACTTTTTTTTTTGGCACAGCCTAACGGGTTTCCACCTCCTTTACCATTCTGGCAGGATTTGGTTCCCCTTGACTCTGCTGTGATCTTTCATTTGGTGGTCTCTCAAAGGGGGGTTCCCCTTGACCCTGCGGTACCTCCCTGCTGGGGGTCCTTGGCTGATCACGGTTTTTGCTGGCAGCTTTTTCCTGGGCCTGTTTAATGTGGGTATCCAGTTCTAGTAAAACAACACTATCAAATTTTTCCCATCCGTTTAGAATGCTCTAAATGGGCTAAGAGGCTAATGTCCTCGAAAGCCTCTGTTTTAAATACATGGAGAAGGAGATTGCAATAGGGATAATGACCAAGTTCTATTTGGTGAGTATGGAGAAGGTTTTCCCCGATCTTGTGTCTTTCTCATTTCTTTCCCAAGTGATACATGCTGGGGCCTCCGATGAGATCCCTTTATGTGTCACTATAGCTCTGCTCTGGATCAAGTAAGATTTCAATCATCTCATAATTTTGAGGCTGTAAGGTGCTTCATCCTTTTTAACTTAATAGCGTTTCCTACCATTAGTGGCCATCCCTCACGCTGGGAAATAGGCCCATGACTGCAAATCCAACACTCAGTAACTTCTGTCTCTTTTGCTATATCCTGACTCATCTGATGGAATATGTTTTGTTCCCATCCCTTCTGGTACTACCTTCGGGATGAGTACATTCAATTTAATCAGGTAATAAACATACCACATACCTACGTGAATACGCTTTTTTCCCCCAAAAAACATATCTGTAATTGTAACACATCCATACCAACCCCAAGATGATAAGGAGTCCCACAATAACACACTCCCAACCCTGAAAGTCCATCCAATCTTCTTTCTTCTTTCTTCTTACAGATGTTGGCTCTCTCTCTTATTCAGAGCCACTTTTATCCTCTTATATTTTAAGTCTTTGAAATATCTTCTTATTTATGTACGTTGTAATTAGTTCTTTATACCGTTGATCAACTCCTAAACTGTAAGTCAGGGTCAGTCACTGTATGATCTCCTTTTTAAGCAGGCTTAATTCATCCGCAATTTGGCATTTCCCTCATAGCATTAGGACATTCATCAAGCAATAGACCATTTCCAATTTTTTTTTTTTTATCACAGGGATCACTTTTCCAAAATTTTTTCCAGCCACTCTGAGTCTTCCAACACAACAGAGGGTACTGTAACAGGCTAACGTAAAATCATTAACATTTCCAAAATTTGTACTTCTTAATGCTTAATTCCCCTTTCCTTCCACATCATACTACCCTCATCTATCTTCATTCACCTATCAATTCAGTTGCCGACATTTTGGACTTTTAAGAGGGGTGTATATGTCAATCATAACATTCAATTTGTCACTGCTCTTCCCACAAAATCTTCTATGTTTAAATATATCTCAAATTATCACTACCTTTCTCCTGTGTGAGACAGTTTCAATTTTTCTTTTTCAAAAAAAATTTTCCTTTTCCTTTTCCTAGTGAGGGCATTCAAGTTGGCCATTCTTGAATACTCTCAACACATTATTTTCTCTTTTTAACCCATCAAATGCTTAAACATATAATAATTAAACATAATCAACCTCACATAACAGTCTTGATGCATCCAAATCTGTCTTCATACATGCATTCACTTATTCTAAACTGCAATATTTCCACACATTTATCTAAACTTTCAAAAAGGGAATCTATTCATTCACATCTCAATATTTCAGGTTTCTATTATTAAGCACATGCTAGATCTTTACATTTCTCTTCCTATTATTTCATCACCTACTGTATCACTTTCTCTATATTCTCTGGCTACATTTCTCCTTTCAATTCTACCTTGTCCTAGGCAATTACACATCTTGGTTTTTCTCCCGTATTAACCCTATTCTCTTATTCTGACTTGCTTTTCCCTGCTTTCCCTACACATACCTTCTTCACATACCTTTTAATTTTCTTCTTGGTTTTGCTTACCCACATGAAAACATATAGACTTGGCATTTTCCATCATCATGTGTATTTTTCCTGAATTTATCCTCTTTTTCTTTTTATTTGAAACCTGTAAAGATTATATTTTTTTCCCAACACAAACAGTTTCCACACATTCCTTTTTGGCTAGCCATCCACATACATTCAAGTTGTCCAGAAAATGTAAACGAACATTTTCTCCTTGTCCCAAAAGACAGGCACCATTTCATCACATTGTACGTAGCGTTTCCTTTTTTCTCTCATTTTTCTCATTTTTCATTTTTTTTTTTCCATCTTGGCTTTTTCCCGGAAGCCTGAAACCATTTGTCTCTTTTCATTATACACATCTCCACAACAAAAACAGGCATTGATACACAAATGTGTGCATAGGGTTGCAAAGCAGCAAGAAGGGGTAAAGCATATGGATACAAACAACATTAACCACAAAACACAAAACAGACTTATCATTTTCCCCCTGAAAGGGTATTCCTCCAACCTGTGAGTGTGATTTCTGTAGCGAAAACAATCACTCGGGGGGTTTTCACTTGATTTCTGCAGCAATCCCACAGTGAAATATTCCCCAGGTACTTCCAATGTACCCCTTTTTAAGGCCTTTTCCTTTACCTGTGCCATGGAATCAAAGCTCTCAATGTACCCCAGTCTGGAGGCAGGGAAGGCGAAGATCAGCCGGGTCGTTTTCTCTCAATGGGTACCCGTATCGCCCCTTCTGATCATCGTCTTACCCGACCCGCTGAGTGGGGCAATCAAACCCTCAAAAGGTTTCGTCTCTATTCCTCTTGTTGGCTCTGATCCCAGGACGAGCCCCCATTTGTCGCGGCAGATTTGCTACCCGAGATCATTTAGAGCACAATCAAGCAGGAAACAGACGGAGACAGCAATTTGATTCCAGGCATATTTACTATCAAGGTTGATAGGACGCTCAGAAACAATATCTGAAGCGTACTGGAAGTCAGTCAGGTTACAATATTTATAGCAGAAGTCCACTGGTTCAGACATGCGTATAACTGTCTTGACATTTACACAGATATAAACATTAACAGAGGTATTTCGCATTACCTTTTCCCATACATCACAATGACGTATTATATTGACGTACTTATAATTGTTTCAAATCTTAATTATTCCCATATTCGTAATATATCTAAAGTTACCTGCTATTTACCTCACTGAACCACCAGATGCTGTTCTGACCTTTTCCAGTCTTAGATCCATTATCTACACAAGTGTCCTTGTCTGGCTGCCAAACACATTTTAATAAACATCTTACTTACTATTGTTTCCCAAATGTCATGTTCCCGTTAATATTTAACTTCCTTGATCTCTGAAGCCCTTACTTTTGTCTATGGAACATTTCGCTTCTCCCTGCCGCAAACACTCCTTCGCTAGTATTTCAAGGTAAGTTTTCCTATATTCATTTTTTAAATATATTTTTATAATTATTCTTTTCCGCTGACTGCTACAGTATAACCAAAGCAGAATAGAGGGGTAGCATTACTTCCCTGGACCTAGACACTATGCTCCTATTGAAGAACATCTGGATTCTGAGGCAGGAGGGAACAGAGACAGCCCGAAGGACATTCTGGAGCCAATGTAGAGAAGCACTGTTTCATCCCCACTGTGCATTTAAGTAGGCCAAGGCAGTGTAATGGTTGAAGTGTTGGACATAAGACCCAGGAGAAAGAGGCAGGGTCAAATGGTCACAAAGCCTATTGAACTACTATGGACCCAATCTATTTGTCAGGCAACTCTACCTCACAGGGAGGTCGTGAGCATAACATGTGCATTCTAGGAGCTTGCAGAAAGAGCAGGAAAACCACATAAGAACATATCTTACTTTCCCTCATAGATGGAATTTCAGGTAGAGGTGTTGTGGGTTTCCTATAAGCCTTGGAGCTAGAACACCATTCACCAAGAACTAGGATCTGGTTTACAAATGACTGAGAACTTGGGCATCAGTACCACTCTGGGAAGAAGCACAAGTGCCTAGGTCCAGGGAGGTAATGCTACCCCTCTATTCTGCTTTGGTTAGACCACACCTGGAATATTGTGTCCAATTCTGGGCACCACAATTCAAGAGAGATATTGACAAGCTGGAATGTGTCCAGAGGAGGGCGACTAAAATGATCAAGGGTCTAGAGAACAAGCCCTATGAGGAGCGGCTTAAGGAGCTGGGCATGTTTAGCCTGAAGAAGAGAAGGCTGAGAGGAGACATGATAGCCATGTATAAATATGTGAGAGGATGCCACAGGGAGGAGGGAGCAAACTTGCTTTCTGCTTCCATGGAGATTAGGACGTGGAATAATGGCTTCAAACTACAAGAGAGGAGATTCCATCTGAACATGAGGAAGAACTTCCTGACTGTGAGAGCCGTTCAGCAGTGGAACTCTCTGCCCTGGAGTGTGGTGGAGGCGCCTTCTTTGGAAGCTTTTAAAGAGAGGCTGGATGGCCATCTGTCAGGGGTGATTTGAATGCAATATCCCTGCTTCTTGGCAGAATGGGGTTGGACTGGATGGCCCATGAGGTCTCTTATTGCTCCGCTCACATAAAAACTGCCATGAGGCAGCACCTGGATATGAGGAGTGTTACAGAAAAGATCCCTTCTTGTGATATTATCTTGTGATTACCGGCACAAGGATCTGAAGGGATCCCTCTTTCCTCCGGGAAGTGCCCTCCACCGGCAAAGGGCTCCTCTTGTTTGATGCGAGTCAACATGTCAGGGGCAGACATCATGGGTTCTGTTAGAGGGAATAAGATAATGGGATCACAGTCTTAGAGCAGAAAGGGGTTGTGAGATTCATGCTAAATATGCCAATACAACTGTAGTAAGACCTGTCCCCCAATAACCATAGAGCACACATGTGCTGTTTCACTTACCCATGCCCAAAGGAAAATGGTCTCTCTAGGGATATACTAGGTCCTCCAGGCAATTCCATCATATGCTCCCCCAGAAATATTTACAAATTATGATGGGACAATAAATGTGTGAACACTTTGCCTCACAAATTTTAATCGTCATTTCAAATGAAAATATTCCAAAATACATTTTTCCAATTTTTCCTGAAAAAAAGGTTCTTTTCTATATAAATAAAAAGGTAATGTTCGTTTGTGGGACTAACAGCACTCAAAACCCGCTGGACGAATTGACACCAAATTTGGACACAACACACCTCACAACCCAATGTATGTTCTTCACTCAAAAAATTGATTTTGTCATTGTAGTTGCTGGGATTTATAGTTAACCTGTAAACAAAGAGCATTCTGAACCCCACCAACGATGGAATTGAACCAAACTTGACACGCAGAACTCCCATGACCAACAGAAAATACTGGAAGGGTTTGGTGGGCAGTGTCCTTTGGTTTTGGAGTTGTAGTTCACCTACATCCAGAGATCACAGTGGACTCAAACAATGATGGATCTGGACCAAACTCTACACGAACGCTCAATATGCCCAAATGTGAACACTGGTGGAGTTTGGGGAAAATAGAATCTTGACATTTGGGAGTCGTAGTTGCTGGGATTTATAGTTCACCTATAATCACAGAGCATTCTGAACCTCACCAACAGTAGAATTGGGCCAAACCTCCCACACAGAACCCCCATGTGGGCCACAGCAACGCATGGCAGGAGACGGCTAGTTTTAAATAAAAATATTCCAAATCGCCCCCATAAAGTTTTCTTGACTTGCATTGTGCCGGTAGGGCTGATTTTGCTTGTCAGTTTGGTGTGCAAATTGTATTCAACAATATACGAGGCAAGTAAGCAAAACCACTGCAGTCTTGGGTCCTTGCATGTTCACAAACTCTCATTCTGCCCCAGAAACATGATGGTTCATCTCTGTTATTAAACATATGAAAGGAGGGGGGGGGGGGGACCCTGAAGATCTTTAGGGAGAAAGACATTTTTCAAGCAAGCACAAGACACTGCTGTTTCTTCTACACGGAAATGGTTAGATATCTAAAGACCTGGATGAGGAGCCATAGTTTCTAAAAGCCAGCCACCAGCTCACCTGGGCAAGGCTCTGCAGTGACCTCTCGCTCTTTTGTGGTGATCTGTTGCTCGGGCACGTGTGGATCTGCTCCCCGTTCGACCCTAGAATGTGACTCTGGTTTGGAAATATTAACATCCACCCCTGAGGAAGGCAGCAGAGAGAAAGAGAAGTGACACAAAGATGGAGTGAGAAGGATAAGAGAGCAAGCGGCTTGAAGCCAATCATGTGTGGCTTGGTGCTTATCAAATCAAAGAGCTGGAGGGACCATCTACTCCAACCCTCGGCCAGTGCAGAAATCCATGCAGAAATCCACCACTAAAGCATCCCTGAGAGATGAGCTGCCAACCGGGATTGTGGCGCAGCTGGCTGAGTGTCAACTGCATTAAAGATCACTCTGACCAAAAGGTCATGAGTTCGAAGCCAGCCCGGGTTGGACGCTGATGAAGCACTTCCGCATTCCCCGCATGCTTCCCCGCTGGAATGCTTTGCTGGAGTCTTCTTTATGGCCTCATAAATCAGTTAATTTAGCCTCCCCACACTTTAAGGTGGTACCTTATTTTCCTACTTGACAGATGCAACTGTCTTTCGGGTTGCAAAGGTCGATAACAGGCTACACACAATTGGTTGGAAACCCACTCCAACCCGGGCTGGCTTCGAACTCATGACCTTTTGGTCAGAGTGATCTTAATGCAGCTGACACTCAGCCAGCTGCGCCACAATCCCAGTGCTGGTTTAATTCAGAGCTATGATCTCCAAATTAGCCATTCAAATTTGGTTTCTGCCACAAATTCACCAGGTACCCTCAAATATGGCACTTAGTTCAGCCTCATGTAAAGAAGAGGATGAGTCCTAATCATTCCAATGTACATGGTTGCTGCAAGTTTGACCAAAAATAAAGTGAAAACCTTCAGAATGACCCAACTACAATAGAAAAAAGCAGACACTGATGTTACTGTACCTGAGTTTAGCAGAGACTCGTAGTTCTCCTTGACAAGGTTATTGTAGATGTCTTTCTGCCAGTCAGCCAAGTTCTTCCATTCTTCAGCAGAGAAATACACAGCGATGTCAACAAATGTCACTGGCATCTGCAAGTGGAAAAGCAAACTGGGATCAGCAGAGTGTGGCCTATGACCTGGAAAGCTCTTTACACTTGTGGTCCAGGCATTCTGGAGGACCATATTCTCCTAGGAGAGGCTCCATGCTCAGGCTCTGAGATCTTAACAACAACCTTCAAGGGAAGAGACTCTTCTCTAAGTAGTAATATGAATAGTTACTTAAATTTACTCATCCATAACTGGTCCATATTCACAATTGCTACTTAATCATGAATTATAAATTGCACCCAAATTACTTTACCAGTTGCAAGGGGAGAAGGTGACCCAACCTGTCAGTGACTGAGCTGTGGATGGACAATGTTTCCATCAGGTTTGGGCGAGGGGGAGTTGACCAATACGTATGACTTAGTTAAGTATTTATTGTTTATTTGTTCAGTTGTTTCCAACTCTTTGTGACCTCCTGGACCTGCCCAGGCCAGAGCTCCCTGTCAGCAGTAGCCACCCCCAGCTCCTTCAAGGTCAAACCAGTCACTTCCAGGATACCATCCATCCATCTTGCCCTTGCTCGGCCCCTCTTCCTTTTTCCTTCCATTTCCCCCAGCATCATTGTCTTCTCCAAGCTTTCCTGTCTTTTCATGTTGTGGCCAAATGACTTCATCTTTGCCTCTAATATCCTTCCCTCCAATGAGCAATTGGGCTTTATTTCCTGGAGTATGGACTGGTTGGATCTTCTTGTGGTCTAAGGCACTCTCAGGATTTTCCTCCAACATCATAGTTCAAAAACATCCATCTTCCTTCTTTCAGCCTTCCTTATGGTCTAGCTCTCGCATCCGTAGGTTACTATGGGGAATACCATTGCTTTAACTATCCGGATCTTCGTTGCCAGTGTGATGTATCTACTCTTCAGTAGACATCACACAGTAGAGGCATCACAGTTGGTCATTACTCTCCTCCCAAGAAGGAAACATCTTCTGATTCCCTGGCTGTATTCTGCGTCTGCAGTAATCTTTGCGCCTAGAAATACTGCAGACCAGTTAATATATTAGTTAAGTATATTTATACTAAAAACAGGTTGGGGGTGTGTGTGTTATTATTGCTAGTTAAATGTACTTCTTAAGTAGCTGATACAAGAATACCATTCAGGGTTTGTGAAGATACTATACAGTGCAATGAAGGGTATGATCTACTGACACAAGAGAGCTGCCTCTCTTAGGGGCTCTTAAGACATGTATTCTCTKCCCRCCCCCCCCCCCCCATTTAGTCTGGGGAGTCTTAAGGGGTGGAGGAATGTCAAATCAACCTTGGGTGGGGGACTGCACTTTACCCACACAGGCTCTTAATTGACACACACATAGCAACCTCACCAGCTATTGATGTTTTGATCTGATCAACCAACATCCCTTATTAGCCCTGATTGCCAATTGTACTTTTTACATAACTGCTTAAGAATAGTACAATTAAAATATGTTTTTCATTGGAATTCAAATCTGTGCTGGGATAAAGCTGAGATATGAATAGAACAATTAAATCTAATACCCAGAAAGTCACAAGTTTCCCTCCTTCTGCCCGCTTCTTCTCCCTGGAACCAGTTACCTTGGGGATTTCTCCCTTGGTGCCCGGGGGAAGCCTTAGGACCCAGAAGTTCCGGTTCTTCAGTAGGTTCTCCATGTTCTCCAGACGCCGCTGGAGCAGGCCATATTCCTGGATCAAGGTCCCCAGCACAGCCCACTTGCTTTCCAGCTGGTTCCCAAACTCCATGGCCGTCTTCTCACAGTCCAGCAACTTCTTCTCGGCGTTCCCCGATCGCCCTTCCAGGCTGAGCAGACGAGTGGCCAGAAGGTCTATCTTCCTCTCCATGGCCTGGACTGTGGCCACCACGCTCCAGAGGGAAGCCTCCGCCGTGTGGAGCTGAGCTTCCCTCATGTGGCTCAGTTCGGGGACGAGGGGAGGCTGGAGGGGCATGAGGTGCTGGGCCTCCACGTTCCATTCCTGGATCTGGAGAAAGAGCAGAGCCATCAAGAAACAAGACAAGTTTTCCCAAATAAAATACAAAATCACAGAAAGTTGTAAAAACACCAAAGGTTTGCATACTCTCAAGACATTCTGCTTAGTGGTGCAAGATAATGCTAACTAGACCATGGCCATATAGCCCGAAAAAACCTACAACAGCCCTGGGTTTAAATATTTATGGAAAGTCCAGGGTGGGAGAAAGAACTCTTGCCTGTTGGAGCTGGGTGTGGATGTTTCGGTTGACCACCTTGATTAGCATTTGATGGCCTGACAGTTTCCAACAGACCTCCCAACCTCTGAGGATGCCTGCCATAGATGCAGGTGAAACGTCAGGAGAGAATGCCTCTAGACCAGTGGTTCTCAACCTGGGGTCCCCAGATGTTGTTGGCCTACAATTCCCAGAAATCCCAGCCAGTTCACCAGCTGTTAGGATTTCTGGGAGTTGGAAGGCCAAAAACACCTGGGGATCCCAGGTTGAGAACCACTGCTCTAGACCATGGCCATATAGTCTGAAAAAACCTACAACAACCCAGAATGCTAAATGTTCTGACTAGTGGCAACTCTCCAGGATTCCAAGTTGAATCTTTCCAAACTGTAGTAGCTGGAACCTGGGACCTTCTGAAAGCTAAGTATGCTCTCTTTCACAGAGCTATGGCTGAGGAGAGTCAACAAATCATCCAGGTATTGGGTTGTTGTAGGTTTTTCCGGGCTATATGGCCATGTTCTAGAGGCATTTTCTCCAGGAGAGAATGCCTCTAGTCTAGAACATGGCCATATAGCCTGGAAAAACCTACAACAACCCAGTGATTCCGGCCATGAAAGCCTTTGACATCCAGGTATTGTCGAAGGCCTTCCTGGCCGGAATCACTGGGTTGTTGTAGGTTTTTCGGACTGTATGGCCATGTTCTAGAAGCATTCTCTCCTGACCTCGCATCCTCATCCTCTAGTCTAGAACATGGCCATATAGCCCGGAAAAACCTACAACAACCCAGTGATTCTGGCCATGAAAGCCTTTGACATCCAGGTATTGTCGAAGGCCTTCCTGGCCGGAATCACTGGGTTGTTGTAGGTTTTTCGGGCTGTATGGCCATGTTCTAGAAGCATTCTCTCCTGACCTCACAACCTCTGAGGATGCCTGCCATAGATGCAGGCGAAATGTCAGGAGAGAATGCTTCTAGAACATGGCCATACAGCCAGAAACCCCTACAACAACCCAGATCATCCAGGACTAGTGAAGTGCAGCATGTGGCCCTCCACTGCAACTCCTATCAGCCCTAGACCTCAAAATCACTAATGAACAATAATGGGAGCCACATATTCCCAATCCCTCACTGGGGCTAAACCAGGGAACACATGTATGGGAAGATGCCTTCTATGTTCCCCACACTAATGTTTTTTCATCGTGGTGCTGTTAAACTGCCTTTTTGTAGGGGGGCACAAACGGCTACAATCGGATCAGCAGGAGCAAAACCCCATTCTCTTCCATGCCTAGCTTAATTTCATTGCTTACTGCAAACATGCTGCAGCAACACAACACCCAAAGTCTTCTTCTCCAACCCTCTTTCACCATCCCTCCATGTGGATGCAGCTAAAACGTCTTCCAGCTAGACAGAAGATGTGGAAAAGAAGAGGCTGCATGAAAATAATAACTTGGAATATTTCTTAATGCCAAATTTCTGACCCTAATGCAAATGTCTTTCCTTTTCTGAATCACTTTCTTGCCTTTCGTCCAGTGGTTTCTGAGTTATGTTAATCCCACAAACGAACATTACATTTTTATTTATATAGATGAGTATATTGGGGTTTTTGTGTTGTTGTTTTTTGGCTTTTTAAGTCTCTTCTGCTGTGTTTTCCAGTGTTTTTATGAGTGATGGTCATTTGTTGGCCTGAGAGGTGTCTTGTGTCCAAATTTGGTGTCAACTAGTGGTTTTCTAGTTATGTTAATCCCACAAACGAACATTACATTTTTATTTATATAGATGAGTATATTGGTGTATTTTTGGGGTTTTAAGTCTGTTCCACTGGGTGGTTTGTGTGTGTGTGTTTTTTTAGGAGTGATGGACACTCGTTGGACAGTTAGGTGTATTGTGTCAAAATTTCATGTCAATTCGACCAGTGGTTTCTGAGTTATGTTTCTCCCACAAACGAACATTACATTTTTATATATATAGACTAGCCGCCCCCTGCCATGTGTTGCTGTGGCCTAGAATGTGTCTATGTGCTTTGTGTGTGTATATATTTCTGCATATGTGTATATATGTGTGTTTGTATATATATGTGTGGTTTTGCGCATGTATTTTTATTTTTTGGCCTTTTAAGTCCCTTCCGCTGTGTTTTTCAGTGTTTTAATGAGTGATGGTCACTCGCTGGCCTGAGAGGTGTATTGTGTCCAAATTTGATGTCAATTCATCCAGTGGTTTTCGAGATGTTAATCCCACAAACGAACATTACATTTTTATCTATATAGAGGAGTATAGGTGTATTTTTTGGGTTTTTAAGTCTGTTCTGCTGGTGTTTTGTGTGTGTGTGTGTGTGTGTGTGTGTGTGTGTGTGTTTTTAGGGGTGATGGTCACTTGTTGGCCTGAGAGGTGTCTTGTGTCCAAATTTGGTGTCAATTCACCCAGTGGTTTTCGAGTTATGTTAATCCCACAAACAAACATTACATTTTTATTTATATAGATTCTCACTTAACCGACACTCATGGGGGAGTTGGTAGATTCTAGATAAATGTAGTTTCTGGTTGCTTGAGAGTTTGTATTAAAAATAGGCTTATCTAGTACTATATCCTTGACTAGACTATACCATAAACTCTGTATTGACTTGATATCATATTGATATTGTATTGTCGAAGGCTTTCATGGCTGGAATCACTGGGTCGTTGTAGGTTTTTCGAGCTGTCTGGCCATGTTCGAGAAGCATTCTCTCCTGACGTTTTGCCTGTTCGAAAAGCATTTTCTCCTGACATTTCGCTTGTTCGAGAAGCATTCTCTCCTGACGTTTTGCCTGCTCGAGAAGCATTCTCTCCTGACGTTTCGCCTGCATCTATGGCAAAACGTCACAACCTCAGATGTTGTGAGGATTGTTGGAAACCAGGGAAATTAGGTTTATACTCCCTGGACCTTCCAGAGATCGATAAACCCAAGTTTCCAACAAACCTCACATCCTCTGAGGATGCTTGCCACAGACGCCCTCCATCTGGAAAGGAGATTCCACCTGAACATGAGGAAGAACTTCCTGACTGCGAGAGCCGTTCAGCAGTGGGACTCTCTGCCAGGAGTGTGGTGGAGGCTCCTTCTTTGGAGGCTTTGAAACAGAGGCTGGATGGTCATCTGTCATGAGAGTGGTTCAGCAGTGGAACTCTCTGCCCCGGAGAGTGGTGGAGGCTCCTTCTTTGGAAGCTTTTAAACAGAGGCTGGATGGTCATCTTTCAGGGGTGCTTTGAATGCAATATTCCTGCTTCTTGGCAGAATGGGGTTGGACTGGATGGCCCACCAGGTCTCTTCCAGCTCTTTGATTCTATGATTATATTATATTTATAGAATCATAGAATCAAAGAGTTGGACACAATACTCCAGGTGTGGTCTAACCAAAGCGGAATAGAGCATGGGGAGCATGACTTCCCTAGATCTAGACACTATGCTCCTCTTGATGCAGGCCAAAATCCTGTTGGCTTTTTTTGCTGCCACATCACATTCCTGGCTCATGTTTACCTTGTTGTCCACGAGGACTCCAAGATCTTTTTCACACGTACTGCTCTCGAGCCAGGCCTCATTGTCCCCCATTCTGTCTCTTTGCATTTCGTTTTTCCTGCCAAAGTGGAGTATCTTGCATTTGTCACCACTGAACTTCATTTTGTTAGTTTTGTTAGATATTATATTATATTATATTATATTATTAGCACAGTGCAGGAGACAAAGTAGAGCCCTGGACCTTCCACAGATATATAAACCCAATTTTCCTAGTTTCCATCAAGTGTCGCAACCTCTGAGGATGCTTGCCACAGATGTGGGCGAAACGTCAGGAGAGAATGCTTCTCGAACATGGCCAGACAGTCTAAAAAACCTACAACCCCCATGTAGACAAGGAAGAAGTGGATATAAAGTAAGAATCTATGATATCTTTCTATGTAATATTTAGATAGTAGACTGTGACCCCTTAATAGAAATATATTATGAGATAAATGACTGTAGAACATTAATAGATAGAAAGTATTGCACTGTATTGTCGAAGGCTTTCATGGCTGGAATCACTAGGTTCTTGTAGGTTTTTTCGGGCTATATGGCCATGTTCTGGAGGCAATTTTTCTCCTGACGTTTCGCCTGCATCTCTGGCAAGCATCCTCAGAGGTAGTGAGGTCTGTTGGAACTAGGAAAATGGGTTTATATATCTGTGGAATGATCAGGGTGGGACAAAGGACTCTTGCTGCAGTTAGGTGTGAATGTTTAGCTGACCACCTTCATTAGCATTTGAAGGCCTGCCTGAGCCTGGGATCTTTTGTTGAGAGGGGATTAGATGTGCCTGATTGTTTACTCTCTGTTGTTTTGCTGTTGTAATTTTAGAGTTTTTTTTAATATTGGTAGCCAGATTTTGTTCATTTTCATGGTTTCCTCCTTTCTGTTGAAATTGTCCACATGCTTGTGGATTTCAATGGCTTCTCTGTGTAGTCTGACATGGTGGTTGTGGAAGTGGTCCAGCATTTCTGTATTCTCCAATAATATGCTGTGTCCGTGGCCATATCAGATATAGCATTACATTGTAAAAGTATTCTTCTGCTCTATAACCAACCAGGGATGTCAATCAGTGTTCTTCTGAGGAAAGGGTACAATATTGTCGAAGGCTTTCATGGCTGGAACACTAGGTTCTTGTGGGTTTTTTCGGGCTATAGAGCCATGTTCTAGAGCAGTGTTTCTCAACCTGGGGGTCGGGACCCCTGGAGGGGTCGCGAAAGGGTGTCAGAGGGGTCGCCAAAGACCATCAGAAAACACAGTATTTTCTGTTGGTCATGGGATTCTGTGAGGGAAGTCTGGCCAATTATATCATTGGTGTTCAGAATGCTCTTTGATCGTAGATGAACTATAAATCCCAGCAACAACAACTCCCAAATGTCAAAGTCTATTTCCCCCCCAAACTCCATCAGTGTTCACATTTGAACATATGGAGTATTCATGCCAAGTGTGGTCCAGATCCATCATTGTTGAGTCCACAGTACTCTCTGGATGTAGGTGAACTACAACTCCCAAACTCAAGATAAATGCCCACCAAACCCTTCTAGAGTTTTCTGTTGGTCATGGGAGTCCTGTGTGCCACATTTGGTTCAACTTCCATTTGGTGGAGTTCAGAATGCTCTTTGATTACAGAACTATAAATCCCAGCAACTACAACTCCCAAATGACAAAATCAATCCCCCCAACCCCACCAGTATTCAAATTTGGGCAGTATTGGGAATTTGTGCCAAATTTGGTCCAGTGAATGAAAATACATCCTGCATAATTACAGTTATGAAGTAGCAATGAAAATAATTTATGGTTTGGGGTCACCACAACATGAGGAACTGTATTAAGGGGTCACGGCATTAGGAAGGTTGAGAACCACTGTTCTAGAGGCATTTCTCCTGACGTTTCGCCTGCATCTATGGCAAGCATCCTCAGAGGTATGAGGATGCCTGCCACAGACGCGGGCGAAACGTCAGGAGAGAATGCTTCTCGAACATGGCCAGACAGAACGAAAAAACCCGCAACAACCCAGAGCCTGAGGCTGTTGGGAATGGTGGGAGTTGGAGTGACAAAGTTTCCCCATGACTGGGCTAAATGTGAAGCTCTGAAACAGGGCCAAAGTTTCCCCAGGTGGCTTCTCCCAATTCTGTGAAGCTCTGAAGCATGTCTTGTCTTGTATTGTTGGTGTGTTGTGATTGTGTGAGCCGTTGGGAGGCAGAGAGGAGTTGTTGTTATTCCCAGAAGGGAAATAGAATCAGTTCTAGGTATGCCCAGTGTGTGTGTGTGTGTGTGTGTGTGGACGCTGCGTTTCTGATGCGCAATGCCATCGGAAGGCGGTGGGATCCGGATCGGCCCGGATCCTCTGGGACTGGCTTCCAGGGAAGAGGGCCAGGAGGCGCCCCGGATGGGATTCCCGGATGGGATTCCCGGATGGGGCGCCTCCTGGCCCTCTTCCCTGGAAGCCAGTCCCAGAGGATCCGGGCCGAGGGTGGCGGGCCTTCCAGGCTAGGCCCGGATCCAGATCCTCCTTCCCCATCCCCTCCCTCCTTCCCTCCCTCTCACCTGGGCAGGGGCCCATTCGGCCATGGCCCGGAGCGGTGGGCCTACTCCTCCGCCTCCGCCTCCTCCTCGCGGGGGGACAAAGAGAGCCGAGCCGGCCTCCAGGGCAAGGCCAGGGGGGTCCCAAGCAGGGGAAACTAGGAAGCCGAGGACGAAGCGAGGCGAAGAAGGGGAGAAGCCGCGGAGAGGCGCCTGCTTTGGCTCTGGGGCCCGACGATGCCTCCCTCTCTCTCGGTTCAGGCTCAAGCTCGGCGGCGCACACCTCAAGGCCGGGCCGGGAGGAGAGAGAGGAGAGCGGAGGGGAAGCAGGGAGGGAGGCGCGCCCCCTGCTGGGACAACGGGGAGGCGCCGCCGCAAGAGAGAGGTTGAGAGACAGAGAGAGAGAGAGACCCCCTTCCTCTTCCTCTTCCTCCCCAACTTAAAACAGTTGTTGTTCATTCGTTCAGTCGTCTCCGACTCTGTGACCTCATGGACCAGCCCACGCCAGAGCTCCCTGTCGGCCGTTACCACCCCCAGCTCCCTCAAGGTCAGTCCAGTCACTTCAAGGATGCCATCCATCCATCTTGCCCTTGGTCGGCCCCTCTTCCTTTTGCCTTCCACTTTCCCCAGCATAATTGTCTTCTCTAGGCTTTCCTGTCTCCTCATGATGTGGCCAAAGGACTTCCTTTGTCTCTAGTCTCCTTCCCTCCAGTGAACAGTCGGGCTTTCTTTCCTGGAGGATGGACTGGTTGGATCTTCTCGCAGTCCAAGGCACTCTCAGAACTTTCCTCCAACACCACAGCTCAAAAGCATCGATCTTCCTTCGCTCAGCCTTCCCTAAGGTCCAGCTCTCACATCCGTAGGTGACTACAGGGAATACCATGGCTTTGACTAGGCAATGGATCTTGGTTGCCAGTCTGATGTCTCTACTCTTCACTATTTTATCGAGACTGGACATTGCTCTCCTCCCAAGAAGTAAGCGTCTTCTGATTTCCTGGCCACAGTCTGCATCTGCAGCAATCTTTGCAGTAATACAGTAACTTAATACAGTAGGCCCAACCAAGCCACGCTCCACGCAGGGATTCCCTCCCGGGGGGGGGGGGGAGTCTTCCTGGACCCGCCGCAACCACAGGATGTCTCCCCACCCTCTACTTTCCCCACTCTCTTGTTGTGCTTGGAAGCCCAAAATGTGGACCCTTCTCTACCATCCTGCTCCTGTCCTAATAATAGTAATAATAATAATAATAATAATAATAATAAAATCCTAGAGTTGGAAGAGACCTGGGCCAAAACTAACAAAATGAAGTTCAACAGTGACAAATGCAAGATACTCCACTTTGGCAGGAAAAACGAAATGCAAAGATACAGAATGGGGGACAATGAGGCCTGGCTCGAGAGCAGTACGTGTGAAAAAGATCTTGGAGTCCTCGTGGACAACAAGTTAAACATGAGCCAGGAATGTGATGTGGCAGCAAAAAAAGCCAATGGGATTTTGGCCTGCATCAAGAGGAGCCTAGTGTCTAGATCTAGGGAAGTCATGCTCCCCATGCTCTATTCTGCCTTGGTTAGACCACACCTGGAATATTGTGTCCAATTCTGGGCACCACAATTCAAGAGAGATATTGACAAGCTGGAATGTGTCCAGAGGAGGGCGACTCAAATGATCAAGGGTCTGGAGAACAAGCCCTATGAGGAGCGGCTTAAGGAGCTGGGCATGTTTAGCCTGAAGAAGAGAAGGCTGAGAGGAGATATGATAGCCATGTATAAATATGGGAGAGGAAGCCACAGGGAGGAGGAGGGAGCAAGCTTGTTTTCTGCTTCCTTGGAGACTAGGACGCAAGGGAAACAATGGCTTCAAACTACAAGAGAGGAGATTCCATCTGAACATGAGGAAGAACTTCCTGACTGTGAGAGCCGTTCAGCAGTGGAACTCTCTGCCCCGTGTGGTGGAGGCTCCTTCTTTGGAAGCTTTTAAGCAGAGGCTGGATGGCCATCTGTCAGGGGTGCTTTGAATGCAATATTCCTGCTTCTTGGCAGAATGGGGTTGGACTGGATGGCCCAGGATGTCTCTTCCAACTCCTTGATTCTATGATTCTATGAGCCATCCAGTCCAACCCCCTGCCAAGAAGCAGGAATATTGCATTCAAAGCACCCCTGAAAGATGGCCATCCAGCCTCTGTTTCAAAGCTTCCAACTGGAGGATAATGGGCTGGAGAAGCGAACTACATTTTATGGCTCTGGAGCATCTATGTGCCCGCCACTGGGCTATAGATGGTTGTGTGTTGGACAAGGACACGAGGAAACCCACAGGCTGAGCCAGGGCAAGTCACACTCACTCAGCCTCAGAGGAAACCAATGGTAGCAAACGTCATAGTATCATAGATTCATAGAATCAAACAGTTGGAAGAGACCTCATGGGCCATCCAGTCCAACCCCATTCTGCCAAGAAGCAGGAATATTGCATTCAAATCACCCCTGACAGAAGGCTATCCAGCCTCTGCTTAAAAGCTTCCAAAGAAGGAGCCTCCACCACACTCCAGGGCAGAGAGTTCCACTGCTGAACGGCTCTCACCAGGCATGTAGCCTGCAAGTGCAGCATTTGAAGCAGAGAGTGTTTGAGGATCGGGACATTGGTAGGGAGACCAGGTGCTTGTCTATAAAGCTATTGTCCTCCCAACCCTGCTCTATGCCTGCAAAACGTGGACTGTTTACAGACGTCACATGCAACCCCTGGAACGATTCCATCAGCGCTGCCTCCAAAAAAATCCAGCAAATCTCCTGGGAAGACAAGCGGACAAACATCAGTGTGCTGGAAGAAGAAGCAAAGACCACCAGCTTTGAAGCAATGCTCTTCCGCCATCAACTTCGCTGGACCGGCCACGTTGTCTGGATGCCCAACCACCATAGAATCCTAGAGTTGAAAGAGACCTCATGGGCCACCCAGTCCAACCCCATTCTGCCAAGAAGCAGGGATATTGCATTCAAAGCACCCACGACAGATGGCCATCCAACCTCTGTTTAAAAGCCTCCATCACACTCTGAGGCAGAGTGTTCCACTGCTTGAACAGTTCTCCCAGTCAGGAAGTTCTTCCTAATGTTCAGATGGAATCTCCTCTCTTGTAGTTTGAAGCCATTGTTCCCTTGCGTCCTAGTCTCCAAGGAAGCAGAAAGGAAGCTTGCTCCCTCCTCCTCCCTGTGGCTTCCTCTCGCATATTTATACATGGCTCTCATCATATCCCCTCTCAGCCTTCTCTTCTTCAGGCTAAACATGCCCAGCTCCTTAAGCCGCTCCTCATAGGGCTTGTTCTCCAGACCCTTGATCATTTGAGTCGCCCTCCTCTGGACACATTCCAGCTTGTCAATATCTCTCTTGAATTGTGGTGCCCAGAATTGGACACAATATTCCAGGTAACGTGGTCTAACCAAGGCAGAATAGGGCATGGGGAGCATGACTTCCCTAGATCTAGGCACTATGCTCCTCTTGATGCAGGCCAAAATCCCATTGACTTTTTTTGCCGCCGCATCACATTGTTGGCTCATGTTTAACTTGTTGTCCACAAGGACTCCAAAATCTTTTCCACACGTACTGCTCTCGAGCAAGGCAGTGAGATCTGCTGGGCCACCTCCCTCCACTCATTTTGCTGCTGGGCCTGATGCCTGGTAAAGTGGGTGGGCAGTGCAGGTATAACTGTGGAAACTGTTCCAGAGATTGTGGATAAGGAACATTGACCTCACCCATAAGTGTTCCATATTCACAATTAATACCTAGGCATGGTTGTGCCACTATTGCCAAACTCATACCACCCCTTTAGGCTTTGACCCTAAGGTGGATGGAGATCACCAAAGGACTAGAAAAGACTCCATTAAATTCAGTGCATTGTATGTCTTTGTATTGTGACTTGTGGTGGCATTTATTATAAACCTTGAACCGGTGCTTGACTGCTGTGTCGGATTGGATGAGAGCTAACAAATTGAAATTGAATCCAGACAAGACAGAGGTCCTACTGGTCAGTCGTAAGGCCAAACAGGGCATAGGGTTACAGCCTGTGTTGAATGGGGTTACACTCCCCCTGAAGACCTAAGTTTGCAGCTTGGGGGTGATCCTGGACTCATTGCTGAGCCTGGAACCCCAGATCTCGGTGGTGACCGGGAGAGCTTTTGCACAATTAAAACTTTTGCATCAGCTGCGCCCGTACCTTGGGAAGTCTGATCTGGCCACAGTGGTCCATGCTCTTGTCACATCCTGAATAGATTACTGCAATGCGCTCTACATGGGGTTGCCTTTGAAGACTGTTTGGAAACTGCAATTAGTCCAACGGGCAGCAGCTAGATTACTCACTGGAGCATCATACAGAGAGCACACCACCCCCCTGTTATGTCAGCTCCACTATCTGCCGATCCAATTCCGAGCACAATTCAAAGTGCTGATTTTGACCTACAAAACTCTATACAGCTCCGGTCCAGTGTACCTGTCCAAATGTATCTCTTTCTACGCCCCACCTCGGAGTTTAGGATCTACTGGGGAGGCCCTGCTCTCGGCCCTGCCTCTGTCTCAAACACGCTTGGTGGGGACGATAGACAGGGCCTTCTCGGTGGTAGCCCCCCAGCTGTGGAATTCACTCCCTGGGGAAATTAGGTCATCATAATCTGTCCTCACCTTTAGAAAGAAGGTAAACGTGGATGTGGGACCAGGCATTTTGGTGATTAGGCGGAAATGACAATGTTGACAATGGCTTGCAAATCAATTAGCCGCTCTGAGCCCCAGGGGAGTGGCGGCATAGAAGTTCAAATAATAAATAAATAAATAAATTATAGATAAGTTAAATGGAGTACTCAAACATAGAATTCGGCTAGATAATGGCCACCAGACTGGTAACAGTTCAGTAGATTGTAAGTATATTGTTTTAATGTGTTTAACTATTATAATTATTGGTGTTTTGTATTTTATTATGCGGCATCAAATTGTTGCCCATTGGAAGCCGCCCTGAGCGCCCCCCCCCCCCCCCCCGGGGTTGAGAATGGCGGGGTAAAAGCGTTCAAATAAATAAATAATGGGAACCTTCCACAGGTTATCAGGTTTTTACCATTAACTGTGTTATTAGACTTTCCCTCCATCTCCCTGGAGTTCAGGTAGGGCCACTGTGCCAGTAATGGGTGCACAAGTGGATGATGTTCCCATCAGATTTGGGGAAGGGCGCAGAGTCTGGGCATGAAAAGTTACTTAGCAGAGTCAGTGATACAGAACACTGACTATTTTCATACGTTTGACAACTCTACTGTAATATTAACCTATTGCTGTTGGAAATAGCA